ATCGAACAATTCCCTGTCAAATCGCTTCGTGCATGCAGACACGCTGCTCGTGCAAATGAAGTCATTCCTCTTATCCGTGGCCAGCGCGACAAGCACACAGGAGCCACTCTTTGGGATAGCATAGAAGATGCAGTACAACCACAAACAGCACCTTCGAAGCCAAGCGATTGGGCTGCAGCACTGCAAGTTTAAAGCTTAGACAGATTGACTGCAACGCTGAAATCTGCTTTCAGTGTCACTGTTGCTGCCCTGTCACTTGTATGAGGCACATATTCCCAGGAAGAAGTTCTGCTTCCTGAGATTTTCCATCTTGCGAAATGTGAATCCCTCCAGTGCGCTACGCGTGCGCAAAACAGGTTGGCTAATGCGTTCGATGTTTCTTCAGTTCTGCCCACTGCTCTGCTGCGTTCTCGTACTCAGAGGAGAAGCTAACAATCCTTGGTGTGCAACCAGGTGGGCATGCTCGCTGCGAGCACGAGCTGCAGGAAGCTCCGCTTTGCAGCAAAGCCTCTCCCCTCGCGTCATCTTGGGCTCCATTTCTTCCTTGCGCGCGTCAAGCCATACATGCCAAAAAAGGACAGCTGCACCTAGAAACCAGGGCAGCCAGCAGAACTGCCAAGAACTTGCCAAGATGCTGCCATGGCTTTCTCGCCTGAATCGCCTCACAGAAAAGGCGGTCCTTTTCGCGTGCTTGCAATTTGTCATTCCGCTCGTGGCACCACAACACCCACCGCACAGCCAAGACGCGAGGCCAAAAAACCCAACCGTTTAAGCTTAACCCGCCTAAGAGCGTTTCTGCTGTCAGGACTGAGATAAATTTTCACAGGCGGTGGAAGACCAAGGTGCCGTTCTCCTTGAAGTAGTTGATCAGGGGATTGTCGATCTTATCCCCGTCTGTTTTCCATACACATTCCTCCTGGCCAGCCATGCCAAGCCATTGCTTTTATTAAAAGCAGCCAAAACTTCCGGCCTCACAGTCCAGGTCGTCACGCCACTTTTTGAAGTCATCCACCTCCTCTGTCTGCTGAAAGAACCTGCGCTTTGCAACAAACCAGACCCAATTTGCGTTTGTGCCAAGCCTTGTGACGGCTGCATGGCCAACATCATCTTTGCTCTCCACCAAGCTTTCGAGATTCCTGAGCCCCGGGTCTGCTTTCCGGTACTAGCATGCCGCGCTTTGCTTAAGAACGTTTGGCAGGCACGGCTGGCAAGGCTCCCCAGGGCATTGCCAAACATCAGCGCCTCGAGTCGCAGCGCTCGCGCTGCGCGCTGCGCGCCACCATCTCTGCCACAAGCGAAGCTACTGCGCAATCTAAGCTGCAGGCGAACATGAGCGTGCTGAACACCTTGCATACGGCACATGTTGGAAATGTTTGACACAACCCCGATGACACGGTAGTGCTTCTTTGACATTAATCCAAGGCTCCAAGCATCCAATACTTTGAAACTTGCCTTGTCCGACTGGGTACCTTGGCTTGGTGGTTTTAAAGGGACATCAAACGGAGAACCACCTCTTTGAGTGTTTTTGGGGGGCCATCCCCTAAAAAGACCCCATGTTGAACTGCCAGAAAAGCCATGGGAAGGTGATGGCTCATTGATTCCGGGAGCGCAAGCGCTTGACACATTTCTTCAGACGCCATGTTGCTGCCCAACCCAACTTTGAGTTCGCCCCAACTTTTGCGTGAAGACGAGAACACTTAAACAAAAACTATTGCATGAAATGTAAGGGAAGTATCACTTGCGGCTGCACGAGCTTGGCAGCATGCCAGTGCGGGCAAGCGACCTCTTCTTGTCCACATTTGTCATGCGATACCCTGTGTATAGCCTAGGCACGGCGTCTCACTTCAAACCGTCAGCAATTGCACATGCCACATGAAACAAGGTTGAGACAAACGGCGTAATCATGTTGGCCATCAGGTCCCCGAGAGAATCCAGCGCTGACGTCCTGCACTTCACTGGGCGCTACTTTGGGCCGGAGGCATTTACATGGAGGGCGCTGCAGGTGCTACAAATTCTTGCTGCAAAGAAGCTCGCATCAGAATGCACTGGCATGACAGTCCAACCAGCAACCCTGTCGAAGGTGGTCCTCACTACCTCTGCGCCTGTGGCCAAGTAGATGCTAACCTTGACGAAGGCAATCACAACCTTAGGCTTGACAAAGTCACACGGTTGGCTGAAAGAAACAATGAACACTGCCTGCTGGCTATCAGACAAGCTGCACACATCGCCGTGGCAAAGCGGGTCGTGCATTTTACCTGAGCATGCGAGCACCTCTAGTGCCACATGCGTCCAAGCATGGCAAAGCTTGAATGCGCAAAACATACGGTTGCCAAACGAACAAAAGTGCCAACCACCAAGTGTCCAAGCCCTTTTTGCTAGTTACAAAATGCAAGAAATTCAGCCATGCAATTGCAATTCTAGAGCCAATTCAAGTGACGATCTTCAGTGCATCTTGCTGCTGGATCCCAGCTTGCGTCGCATCTTCAGCCTCAGTCTCTAGCGCGTCGCAGCAACTCTGTGCTTCATCTTCGGCTTCTGCCAAGGAGCCGCGAGGTGATCCACCTGTGCCTCATCCAGGATCCAAGACTTTTGTACGCGGGAGGCCCTGGACTGCCGTTGCACTGATGCGCCTGCACCGGTGGCCAAGCCCTGCCCCGAATCAGGCTCAACACCCAATACTTGGCTCCAAGCTGGATACAAACCACATAATCTCAACCCTCAATAGAACTTAGAACCTTCACCTGGCCAACACGAGCGCTGTACTCGACTTAAGCTCCATGTGCAACCTGGCCTCCTCGCATAGCTTTGAATTGTGCGGACACAAATCCACATGTTTATGAAGATTCTCACACCCACTAAACTTCATACCCACATCCTTTGGCAGTGCCTGTGGCGACGCTACTCCTCCGGTTCAGTGACTCCGTTGTGGCGACCTCTCGTGCGTCCTGGTGCAAGCTGCCAATCAGAAGGAAATTGAGGGATAGGGTGCTTTGTAATGAACGACCCTGGTGAGGCCTGCTGGGAAGTCTTCTAGCAGTCCCTTCCCTCTATGAAAGGTGTACCTGACAGTTGTTTTTCCAGACCCCAGATCTTCCAATACAAAACTTGAATTAGACAATAGTAAGCCCAATCCGAACCAACTAATTTCCCGCCGGCCGCAATTGCAGCCGGAAAAGGTGGCTCCTCAAAGCAAGTTGAATTGAGTTGTCAAACATGCTGCGTTGCGATTTCAGGCTGCGCCTTGTCAGGGTTGAATACGCAAAATTGAAAAACATGCCTTATGCGTTTCAAAACAAATTATGTTCTGGACAATTGCCCAGCAAAAAGGAGCCCCCTTTGAGCATTGTTTTTTCTTAAGGTTCAGGGCTTATACATTCTGGGGGGGGGCTCCGCGAGGCCAGAAATTGTGGAAGGGTTGGCTTCGCGAGGCTTCGCAGAGTGGCTTAGCCGTGCTTCGCGGATGCTTGTTCCACAAACATCTCTGACGTTTGCGCCTTCGTGTAGTTGAAGCAAGTTGAGCCTATGCAAATGGGGCATTGAAAGGCGGTAAGAGAGGCACTTAGCTTCACGGCTAAGGGACATGGCTAGGCCCCAAAGGGGCGGAGGACCGCAGTGGCTTCGCGGGTGCTTCGCAAAGGCTTCGCGAAATGGTCCATCGTTTCTAGCCAAACCGGATCTGAAACGCACAGTGCTCTTCCGGTCGTCTTGCTGTCGTCTTCCCATGATCTTCCGGCAGTCTGACTGTAATCTTCCTGTACTCTTGTCATAGCCTTCCGGCAGCCATCTGAAAGTGACTCTAAACATCAACCTTTGGCATGCTACTGCCGTGAAGGCACATAGCACACCCCAACCGCGAAGTGGCTTCGCAAGCGGGTTCGCTTTTGTTCGAAGAATCGATTTCTGGTTCGGGACGATTAATGAACTGGGGGTAATTAATATGGGGTCAACACTATTGCCACACTGTCCAAAACCCAACCACTTCCCAAAACTCCCCGCTCTGTTCCCTGCTCGTGACATGTGACGGGCATCCGCCCTGCAACCAAGCCTCCATGATGAAATTGGCCGACAAATTTGCCAATCGAACTTGAGCCGAAACTCACCCATTGGCCCAAAAATGTGCAGGTCCCAAACACATAGCAAAGCAGTGGCCAATGCCTATACTTCATGTATGGCACATCATGCCGCAGGAGGTGCAAGCAAGTGCGAAACTGTATGGAGACCACCACGCACAGCGCTGCCCATCGGAGAAGCCACATGACCTGCATGCAGCATGGCGGAGCAAGAGGTTGCTGGCAACATCCTGAACACAGCCGCACTTCAACATGCAATTATAGCACGGTTGCCTCCCTTGAACAGGCTTTTGGCAAGTAACCAAACATTGATTGACTGCATGTCGCCGATGTGTTCCCTGCCTTGACTGCCAGGTGTGCTGATTGCTTCAATGTAACGTCAGGGATACAATGTGCCCTTGTCCGACACTTTTACTGTTGCCCTGTGGTGTTGGCTCTGGGTACTGGCTCAGGTCGACACCATTTTGTGGGGGCTTGTGATGGAACAGGTGCAACACGCACATGGAACTCGCATTGTGTCAGCACATGTGCAGAAATCTACATGCTTGCATGCGTGGGAACTTAAATGAACTTAACAGGTACGGGGGTGCGGCGTACGTATTGAACAAATAAGTAGATAGGTACGGTACAACTGGATAGGCGCCATGTTGCCTGCAAACTTGCCTCAACACTCAGAAATCGCAGTTGACTCAGACCTAAAGGAGAAGATCCAAAGCTCTGCAAAGGCGGCGGCAGCGCAGCTAAGCGTGCAATTAAAGAACCTCACTGGGTTGCTCTGCTGGTTTTGCGTAGTGGGTAAAACGCATGCCTGTGCATTTGGCAGGGAAGCATGGCAATCACACTTGGAGGGGAGGTCCAGCAAGCGCACCATCAAGCAATATTTCCACAATCCGCTGAGACATTGCCGGCATGTGATCTGTGTCTGCGGCATCTTTGCAAAAATCTCGGGCAACTTCAAGAGACGTGCCTAAGATCTGCACAGCACGCGCAACAAACATCATTTGGACTGCTCTTCAGCTCAGGCAGTTGCAGGAATTCGTACTGCAGCCAATGGGCGCTCCGATTCAGATGTGTGCCGAAAGAAAAGCAGTTGCCGCCGCCTCCGAGCACGAGCCTGGGTTGCGCTCGCCCTCATTTGACTACCAGTATGGGGAATCTGCGTTTGGGTTCCACTGCAGGAAAATGAAATATCGCTGAGGGCCGCAAAATCAACACCATATCATTATCATAGAAGACTTCAAAAGAAGGAACTCGAAAGCGGGCCAGTGGCTTGACTCCCAGCTTTCTCCAAGCATGTTTTGCTTAAGCCAAGTCGCATGTGCTCATCATCCAGCATGACCTTGGAGCCACAGGAGACCTTTTGGAAAGGTAGATGGCCCTGGCTAATGGAATAAAACCCATCCAAACCACTGCCATCTATTTCCAACCAAACTAACCTAAAAAGGGCACCTATGCCAGGCCAGGTACTCGATATGACATTGCTCTACTATTTCCTTGCATGAATGAGCAAGCCGAGCGCCCTGCCGAGGCATGGTTGTGCCACATGAAAATCTCCTCCTGGCCACAAGTGTTTTTGTGTGCTTAGCTTGCGGTTCCAGGAGCCAACCAACTGGTTCAGTCCCAAAAACTTTGCCACTGGCACGGCGCGCGCCTCTTGGCCGGCATCCGTGATCTCAAATGGCTTCCCCCAAGCGCAAATCGGAGCTGGGCACATCCGGGACTCCTCAGTGGGCTTTGGTGGGGGCAGGTGATGGAGGCTTGGCTTATGGCTGAAAAGCAAGGAGTCGACAATATCATTACGCAAAAAGTCAAAATGGCCGCCGCTATTCACTAATGGTTGGGACTGTCCACTGCGAACCCGCATCCTCCCAGCTCTTGATTGCGTCCCAGCTATAGTTTCTGCATGTTGTTGACAATTTCAAACCGATGCACACAAGTCCTTGGCTAGATTTGACACATTCTTAGTGGCAGCGCTTGCGCGGGACACGGTTGAGGCTGGACATGGCACAAGGAATGGCTTGCGGGCATGATCTGCGAAGGCCTCTCGTGCATGATCAGCCACGCTCTAACAACAGGTTCACCTGACTTGCCCCAAACCAGCTGAATCGATCTCAGCAAATAAGCGTGAGGGAAATGACACCGGTCTTCTTGCCGAACACTCTGTGCTGCTGATGTATACACGATGTACACCTCATCACGGGCAATGAGATATCTTTATGAGTCGCTCTCAAAGAACATTCGTCCTGCGGACATCAGCCTCCCCCACCCTGGCTAACTGACATCATCAGCCTTCTGGCTGACCCATTTGCCCAGCCACAATTCCTCCGACCACAAGGAAACTGCCACTGTAATAGTGCAGGCTGTGCCCATACCTTGCGCCGCAAGAAACAGCACACACCAAACCGGAGCCATGTGGTTCTGTCAGGCAAGCGGCCGTGGCTGCGGCAATGGTGAGGGGGATTGATGCCATGAAAGTTTGAATGAGCCAGCTGCATCAGACACCACCTGTAAAGTCCAGGCGTCTGCCAACATTGTCTCACACGCATCTAGCCCACCACACACCAGCACACCATCTGGCCCGAGTGCGGCTGCGTGGGAGTGTCTTGCGGCTGGCGTTCCGCCAGGCGATTCGATCTGAAGGCACTGCCATGTCAAGGTGTCGGTGTTCAGAAACCAGGCGTGGTCCAGACTGATCACGGTGGCTCCAGTGCCCCCCAGCACAAAAATCCCAGTAGTTGTCCCCAGCACCAACTGCGTGGCTGAGTGCCGCCATCTGGGCGGCGGCCAGGGGCAGCTTTGGGGCACCTGCTGAAAGGACATCCCAACTTTGCACACTGACAGGCCCGCGCTGGGCCGCTGCGGGCCCAGGCGGCCGCCGAAGAGGAAGACCCGGGAGCCCACCGCCGTAGCTGTGCAGTACATGGCGGCAGAGTGCTCCCCCACCGCCTTGAAGTCAGAAGACGTTTGATCCGTCAAGTCGAGCTTGCGGACCATCACCGATGCCTGACGCCCGTGAGTGTCGGACACTGTCACGTCCTGTGTTCCGTGGCCTCCACATACCACCAGGTGCCCATCGACATAGCATGCAGCTAGGCCGAACCGCGAGATTCCCACATGCGGAATGACATGAACTGGCAAGCTGCCTGCTAAGGCCGGCTTAGGGCAATCCTTCCACACCCAATGTGCCTTGGCGCAGCTCCCCGACATGGCAGCGAGGCAGAAGTAGTGCACGCACTTCAGATGCAGCTCCTCATATTCATCGAATGGCTCCAAGCTCCTTGCCCGGCCGAGCTCATGACCTGACTCTGCTGCAAGCACAGACATCATATCTGCAGCATCCACGCGCTGGAATGCTCTGAACCGCTGTCTTTGTGACTCTAAGTCTGGGTTTTCCAGCAAAGACCTCAAAGGACACTGGCGCTGCGCAAAGTGCCGGCGCATAAATCTGCCAAAGGGGTCATGTGGACCCTGCTGCTCGTACATCCCAAACAAACAGTTGGGAAACGACTTTGCCACCCATGAGATAAGAGCATCTCCTTCGTGCCGCTCCATATAGGCTAAAACAACCTCTGCAATAAGCAGCGTTGGATTGCTGAAGTTGGCACCTGGAAGGCGGCGGAAAGGATCCAAAGCAACCCATGGTTGGGGGCAAAACTGCAATATCCAAACCCACATTTCTGTCTAATCAGGTACTTTCCCATTTGACCACAACCAACACGGCAACATGTGCGTTGACCACTCTTTGAAACAAAGATCGCCCAACAAACCCATCTCATCATGATTCGGGCCTCACGAAAGTGAAGCGCCCTAAGGTTCCGTCCATTTGCCCTGCTAAAATGCTGCCGGGCCTGCTTCCTTCAGCGAGGCCTCTACTTCCGATGTCTGACGCCTGCGCTGAGCTACTCAGTTCTCCCGGAGCCCCGCGAGCCAGCAATACTTGATGGATGGCTCAAGCCAAGACGTTGAGATGTAGGGGGGACTTGGGATTAGAAGCTTTTGGAGTTGGGAGGTCAAAGTAAGGATCCATCTGTCCAAATCAGAAAGCACACCCTCTCAAACCCTTGCTGCAGAGAAGAAGCCAACCTTCTACAAATCTTGCGGGCACCAGCGAGCAAATGGGAAGGCCCGAAGTTGGACGGAGCTGGGTTGGACAAACGCACTGTACTCCGAGTTGGTTTGCATTTTGGGCATGAATTGTGTGGAAAACACTTTGCATGTGCTGGACTTGTCAATTCATCACCCTGAAAGATTGATCAACGGGTGGACTAATAGCGGGGTTCAAGTCCAGAGGGAACCCTTCGCTTTTTGCGAATCAACCGATAGGAGGGAAGCGCCGGAATGGGCCGAAATCGGATTCGTTGTTGAACGGTACCCTTCTTGAGCTAGTTCGCCAGGCAAATCCAGACAGCAAAGGGAGACCAACCATTTCAGGGCGCGGCATGAGACAAGGTCAGATCTTGCCATATTATTGGCTGACCTGAAACGAAATCTCAAGCAAAGCACAAGCCGTCTTTGGGTGTGTCTGCGGATGTGTCTTTTTTGAGGGTATCTCTTTTTTGGGGGGTTGGTTTCAAGGGAAAGCAAACGGAGAAGAACACCATGGACCATGGGTCTTTCTTGTTTGTTCAAAGCAGACACGGAGACACCCACAACCTCAGCCAGGGGGCAGGTCGGCGCCGCAGCTGCGCAGCCAGGCAGGCTTGGGCGCTTGGTTTCGTCGAAGCAAAGCTTCCTTTCGCGCCAAGACCTCAATCCACGTAGGCTCGGCGTTTTGGGGGGGTGTTTGCTAGGACAGCCAGGGAGCAAGAAGAACACGGTTTGGGGATTCTCCTCAAAAGGAAGCCCATATGAGGCTGCTTTCAGTGGCTTGAGACTGATCCCACTGTTTCAACTGTGTTGTGGCTTTCTTAAGCATTCATGATGACTGGCTGATGCTCTTGCAAAGGGATTGATGCATGGAATCTGACATGTTCATGTTCTTCCATGCTGGTTCCATGCGGGAGGTATGCAACCTCCAGAAATCGAGACATTGCCTAAACACAATCACCGCGTCACACACGGAAGCGGCAATCGCCCCCCGGGTTCAAAAACTCCGAAATCTAGCTGCAAATCAGAAGGGCCTCCCCCAATCTCACAGCTCCGATCTTCCCTTCTTCCCCCTCAGCCCAGGCAGATAGAAAATCCAGCCCATCTTTCCAGGAGCCTTTGGGTTTGCAAACTTGTGCAGATACACGGGGGTTTCTCAACGTAGGGGACCCTGTTGGCATGGATAAGGGAAGCCAAAAGGACACCTACCAGGGATCGGTCCATTTGGAGTCACAGCATCGCTACCTAAAGGGGCATTGTACTTAGAAAGCGGGTAACTTGTAACCATCATCAATAAGTTGTAACCCACACAAGACTTTCCGTGGGTTACAACCCTTCACCACGTACCTGACATACCGAATCCATCACCAATGTTGACCCCATATTGATCCACCCCAGTTTGTCAAAAGGGCCTGGAACCCCGAACGGCCACTTTTTTTTCGGTCAAAAGGTGCATTTGGCCTGTGTTTGCCCGTAAGGTTGTTTTTTTTTCGGTCATTTGCCTCATTTGCCGTTATTTTGGAGGTATCTCTCTCTCTCTCTCTCCAGCATCGTCGAGCAGGTCTCGCTCGTCCCAGATCAGGGATGCGTATTTGCAGGTATAAAACCCGTATTTTATTGATAAAACATTGAAAACAAACCGAAGAAAAACGTATTTGGCCGTATGACCATTGTTTTTTTGGCAAAGCCTTTTGACAAAACTTTTGACCAACAACAAACAGCCTTTTGGGGCTCCATTGGGGGGAATCAGACCACTTTGACACTGAGCTGGGTGTGGGTCAACATTAAACCACCGGGGACTGGTCCAGTAAACATCCCAACCCCCACTAAAATAGACTCAAATGGGTGGTGCACCTACCCCAGAATGGTACCATTGGTTTTGACAACCACGAGCTGGGCATGACACCACTCCAGCGCCCAGCTGCCGCCGGGAAGTCCACCTCGAAGTACCGCAGCTCCTCCGGCCACGGCCGGCGCAGGGCGCCGGTGTCGAAGCCCGCGCCCAGGGCCACCACGTTGAAGGCCTCGCCCGGCCTCGGACATGGGCTGAATGGCCCGGATTTTTTGTTTGTTTTGGCCCCGGTTCCCGAAAAGCCGCGAGAGCCACGAAACTGGGGAGATGGGAACCGCAGAATGGACCAAAAAGCCAAAGGACGAAACTAGGGAGAAGGGAACCTCATGGTGGACGTGCCAAATGGAGCCCCTTGATTAAAAGAAAAAACACCTGTGACCAAGAAAGCCGAACAAAGCCCGAAAGAACAGAGCCTGGAGCAGTCTCATCAATGTGCCAGGCTGCTTGACGCAACTTTGGAGAAAGACTTCCTGAGGGGCAGGTATCATGGCTCGGTGATTGAACGTGGCTGCGCCAAGCGAAAAACTCATGCTGCGAGACAGTGAGAGAGCGCCCAAAACCCCTCCTGCATCTGTAGCACGCCCAAATGGCGGACATAGTAGCCTGGGCTTGCAAGCGAAAAGGTCTGCCAACCGAAGTGAGGCGGGGCATAAACAAACATCACTATCACTCATTCTGTGGCCTTTACAGTGATACCGTTCCAAAAGTGAGTGCCACCACAAAAAATAACGTGCGTGCCATGATGCAGCGGTTCACTAAGGGCGATCTTCGGATCAGCCGACCTTTGGGCCCACGAGCAGCTACCAGGCCAACAAAAGCGTCCTGCAAGAACGGCGTGGGATAAAACTTAAAACCAGAGATAAATGTCTCTCTCTTTCTCTCTCTCTCTCTCTTTCTCTCTCTCTCTCTCTTTCTCTCTCTTTGCTTCACGGCTGTTTAGCCGCCAACCCCCAAACCGGTGCCTAGTCTTCAGTCTCGACACATCCCACGTGTGGGGTACAGGGGGTTTGGAATTGATGGCACAAAACTCAATTAATTGCAGTGGATAAGATGGCGAATGGCCCGATTCTGCTGGATATTAGGTGTGACTAAGGCAGTATTCGAAAGGCCTAACAAATGAAAAAACAACGTCAACCTTTGTTGGGCCAATACGGAGCCGCCCTCCAGCCACCAGCCTTTGCCTGGAAAGGGGGTGAATGCAAGGGAGAGGACCAGGATGCCACTTTACTATGGGACGCGTCTTTCCAAGCCAGCCTCAAAGTAGCCCAGAGCCGCAGCACTTGCCTTGCTCACAATTGAGCTGTCATTGGTAGCCTTGCATATATCACTCAACTCAGGGCTGTCTTGCTTGCACAATCCTTCCTACTGACATCGCTACAGCTGCCAAAACTGCAGCTGCTCAGCCTGCACGGTAGCATCGGCCCCAGAGTAGTCTGCCATCTTGGCCTAGGCCCAGGGCCCCAGTAAAACACCTGGCCTCTGCCACTCAATTCCGCGGAGGTCAAAACAATCTAGGTGCCAAGCTGATCACAACATGGCCGCAGCAAAAAATGATGCAAGCAAGGGACCAGAAATGATACGTGACTAAATGTCGAGGAGCCGAAATGCCAAGAAAAGGAAAAACTATCTTGCAGAATGTTCCCGCTGCGCGCGCGAGAAAAAAACGCAAATGCGCTCTCATGCCTCCAGCAGGCCTAAGCACGCACTCGCATGTGTGTGTGTGTGTGGTGTGTGCGTGTGTGTGTGTGTGGTATGTGTGTGTGTGTTCCCTGTGTGTGCTCTGTGTGTGTGCGCTGTGTGTGTGTGTGCGCTCTGCGTGTGCGCGCTCTGTGTGCGTGCTCTGTGTGTGTGTGTGTCTGTGTGTGTGTGTGTGCGTGCTCGTGTGCGTGCGTGTCCGTGTGGGCGTGGGGGCCTGTGGGCGTGTGCGTGCGAGCGTTGCGTGCGTGATAGTTTTTCGTGCTGTGCGCGTGTTTGTGTGCATGCGTTGCGTGGGTGCGTACGTACCATGTTTTTCTGTGTAGGAATGGGTGTGTGCGCGCTTGTGCTCAAGTCTGTGTGTGTGTGTGCTAGGTGTGTGGGTGTGGGTGTGTGTGTGTGTGTGGTGTGTGTGGTGTGTGTGTGTGTGGTGTGTCTAGTGTGTGTGTGTGTGTGCGTGTGTGTGGTGGTGGTGTGTTGTTGCGGTTTTTGTGTGTATGTGTATGCGTGCGAATTTGTGTAATGTTGCGTGTGCCTGTCTGTGTGCGAGTGTCGTGTCTATATTGTGTGTATGTGTGTGGGGGGTGTGCGTGTGCGTGCGCGTGTGGGTGTGGCGGTGGGTGTCTGTGGTGTGTGGAATGTGCGGTTTGTGTGCCCGGCGTGTGTATGTGTGTGGTGCGTGTGTGTGTGTGTGCTGTGTGTATGTGCGCAGTGTCTGTATGCGCGTGGTGTGTGTGTGTGTGTGTGTGCGTGTCTGTGCGTGTGTGTGTGTGTGTGCGGTGTGCGTGTGTGTGTGTGTGCGCAGAGTCTGTATGTGTGTGGTGCTTCTGTGTGTGTGGTGTGCGTGTGCGCGCGGTGTCTGTATGTGTGTGTGTGTGCGGTGTGTGCGGTGTGTGTGTGTGTGTGGGTGTGTGTGTGTGTGTGCGTGTGCGTGTGCGTGTGCGTGAGCGTGTGCGCGTGCGCGTGCATGGGCACGCGCGTGAACGCGTGCGTGCGTGCGTGCGTGCCTGCGTGCGTGCGTGCATCGTGTGTGTGTGTGTGTGTGGTGTGTGTGTGTGCGCGCGCGTGGTGCGTGTGTGCGTGTGCGTGTGGTGTGTGGTGTGTGGTGTGTGGTGTGTGGTGTGTGGTGTGTGGTGTGTGGTGTGTGGTGTGTGGTGTGTGGTGTGTGGTGTGTGGTGTGTGGTGTGTGGTGTGTGGTGTGTGTGTGTGTGTGGTGTGTGGTGTGTGGTGTGTGGTGTGTGGTGTGTGGTGTGTGGTGTGTGGTGTGTGGTGTGTGGTGTGTGGTGTGTGGTGTGTGGTGTGTGTGTGTGTGGTGTGTGTGTGTGTGTGTGTGTGGTGTGTGTGTGTGTGTGTGGTGTGTGTGTGTGTGGTGCGTGGGTTTGTGGGTTTGTGGGTTTGTGGTGTGTGGTGTGTGGTGTGTGGTGTGTGGTGTGGGTGTGTGTGTGTGTGGGTGTGGGTGTGTGGGTGGGTGGGTGGGTGGGTGGGTGGGTGGGTGGGTGGGTGGGTGTGTGTGTGTGTGTTTGTTTGTTTGTTTGTGTGTGTGTGTGTTTGTGTTTGTGTGGGAGAGCGCGTGCGTGGGTGCGTGCGCGCGTGCGCGCGAGTGAGCGTGAGCATGCCGCGTGTCGCGTTCGTGTGCCGCTTGCCGCGTGCCTCGTGTGGCGTGTCACGTGTTGGGTGTGGCGTAGTGCGTGTTGCGTGTCGGCGTGCGTGTGCACCGGGTTTGAGCTTGGCGCCCAAACCATTGCTAGTCAGCCCAAATCAGGGTGTCCAAATCACTGCCTGCCCACCCGGCTATTAGTGGCGCAACTGCGTGCGCACGTGCGTGCGTGGGTGTGTGGGTGTGTGTGCGTGCGAGCGCGGGTGCGGGTGCCTGTGCCCCTGCGCACGTGCGTGCGTGTTTCTTTTCTGCTCAGGCTCGTAGGCTGTTCACTTCCAGTCAGCCTTTCATCAATGGATGGAGCGCAGCGTGCTCACATTCACTCGCCGCCGGTGACAACACGCCTGGCCAGAGCAAGATTCATTTTTCCCCAAGGTCCAGGACATATTATGGCTGTGACCTCCTGTCTCGATCTTCATGAAAGCTTGATGGCCTCGGAGCTTGAAGTCAAGGGCTTCAAGCCCACTCATGGCATGCATGCTCGCACAGGCATGCTCGTTCGCCCAGCTTTGAACACGGCCTGAGCCACGATGACGTCCTGTCATAAAACGGAGAACACCTGTTCGGTGATCTCTTTCCCCAATAACTGTTGCATACAGTTGCTTGTGCCATCGCACAAGTTGCGCCTATGCAAGCTGGCGGCACCAGCTCGACTGCTAATTCGGGCAGTGGCTCACTTGCACTGGCCCTGAGCTCCAAAGCCCTGAGCGGGCCTTAGCCGCGAAGCAGATGTGCTATGATGACCTCAAAGCAAACACCTCATGTGCAGCCAAGCCGCTAGCTGTCAGCATCCTGCAAAACTGCCTTTGCAGAATCACGCTTCTTGCACTGAAGGGGCCGCGTCTGATTTTCCACCTTTGCGGCGGATCCTGCGCGGCAGGAAACGGACCCAGTTGAAGAGGCATGTGCCCTGCATAGGAAATCAGCCTTTGAACCCGGCACCACAGCGCCTGCCTTGCCATGATGTGCTTTTCCTTCTTGCGCCGGTCTTTCTCCCCAGGAGGGCACAGGTGACAAAACGAGCAATTCCTCGGTGCAAGCTGCCCCCTACCTTCCCCTGCGCGCCACTGCTCAACCAGACTCTCTCTCTCTCTCTCTCTCCCTCTCAGCTCAGCACTCGCCACCCTGACATCCTTTGGTGTAGAAGAAGGCGCATGGCTTGCAATTTCCCATCTGATGGGCGATCGAGCCGAGCGGTGCTTCCATTGGGGGCTCGATCGCATATTCAGGCCACATCCATTGTGCATCCAAGGGTGGGCACACTGGAGCCATTGGAGGGCAAACAGCATGACCGCTGGGTGGAGCAACTGGAGTTGTGGACAGAATGCTGTTTCCAACCGGGGCGTAGGGTATGCACTCGTAGCTTTCATAGCCATAAGGATACGTGAAGGATTGACCCCAAGCCAAAGGCTCCCAATCCTGACAATAAGCATCCTGGCAATAAGCAAACTCCATATCGCCCTCCTCTTCGAAACGAGTGCTCCCACTGCTGGAATAGCAAGCATCCTCCTCCGCGAATTGCTCCAAGCCAGGGGGTGGCGATGGACTCCCACTCTGCAAATTCCCGGTGGGGCTTGGCAGGCGGGTGGGGCACTCGGCCTCAGGCGTGCATGGCTTCTCTGCAAGCAGGTTCAAAGTCTTGGCCGACATCTCTCCAAACCCTTGAGGACTGTGAAGGCGTCGCTTCACTGGAGCAAGATGGCTGCAAGCAGCTGGATATTCCGGTTTCTTGCGCAAACAATGCCTCTCCGCTCCTGGATCTTTCATTCTTGACCCCAAAACCAACAACCCGAATGGTGCGTAAGCATTCCGTAGCCATTTCTCACTACTTATGTCACCCAATCGATGGAACTGCAGCTCCTCCCAAAGCACCCGGCTCGTAGAGGTCTGGGTGGCCCGAGGGCATAGAAGAGCTATCGCGGTTGGCTCCAAACCTCGGCGGCGAACCTTGCATCTATGGCTCAAGATGCGTGTTGACTGGTGCCACAAGGAAACCATAAGGAAACCGCCCAGTTTTTGTGGACAAACCTACACACCCAAATTGAGGGTTCCGGGGGTCCTGCACGGCTTCAAGCGCCCGTTTAGGCGCGCGGCGGCTGCGCATGGCGCACCTGGATTTCCGATTCCGAAGAAGGCGGGCGCACGCACGGGCAGCGTGGGGCAGCGTGGGGGGTTTCTCAAATAGGGCCCCCGAAAATAGTTGGCCCTCCTTTTGGCTT